TATGATATTTGTCTTCCTCTAATTTTGCTTAGCATAATACCCTCTTGTTTTATCCATGTTGTTGGAAATGGCAAGATTTCATTCTTTTTGATTGCCAAGTAATAGTCCATTGTGTGTGTGTATGTGTGTGTATGTATATGTATATATATATATACACACATACCACGTCATCTTTATCCATTCATCAGTCGATGGACATTTGGACTCTTTCTATACTTGGTCTATTGTCGACAGCGCTGCTATAAACATTGGGGTGCATATGCCCCTTTGAAATAGCACACCTATATCCTTTGTATAAATACTTAGTAGTGTAATTGCTGGGCTGTAGGGTAGTTCTATTTTTTTTAATGTTTATTTATTTTTGATAGACAGAGTGTGGGCAGGGGCAGAAGCAGAGAGAGAAGGGGGCAGAGAGAGGGAGGGAGACACAGAATCCGAAGCAGGTTCCAGGCTCTGAGCTGTCAGCACAGAGCCCAACACGGGGCTTGAACTCATGAACCATGAGATCATGACTGGAGTCAAAGTCAAATGTTTAAGTGACTGAGCCACCAGGTGCTCTGAGTTTTCTTAGTTTAAGAGTAATGCTCTAATAAAGCAATTTTTAGTCTTTTTGAATATATGAATAATTACGCATTTTCACATTTTCATGACAATTCAACTCCTTGTTTCCCACAGTCCATGAGGTATGTTATAAAACCAGAGTCAGCTATCATTATTTTAATGCACAAGAATAAATTATATTCCTGGGGTAGAAATCGAAAGTTGTTTTGGTCATGTTCAATTTGCTGCACAGGTCTACCCTTAGCTTATCAGAATCTCTTCTATATTAGGATGAATTGTGATAATTAATGTTATGACTACACCTTATTTTAAATTTTAATGTATTAGAGGGTCTATGATATGGAGATCAATTTTATAAACCTTTGTAACTGTTTTCTCTTTTTCTCTGTACCTATCTTTCTCTGTGTTTCATGCTCTTCTAACTTCTTTCTCCTTGACCCTTTTCTGTTCCACTTTGTTCTAACCTTTGAGTATGTGTCAAATATACAAGGAAATAATATGGTTAACAGTATTACCTTGCTTCAACAGATCTGTCACTTTATTTACCTTTGCAATAGTAAACAAACTACTTGTCTCATAGGTTAAAGGTAGACTTACCTTCTACTCGTTTTTTGTGAAGTGGGGGTCGTCCTTTCTTATTCCTTACTGAGGAGGTTTTGCTGCTGCTACTTCCACTGTTAACAGACATCCTATCATCTTCACCTCCAGTGACTAATGAATTTCTATAGGAGATAAGTGGAAGCCACACATCTTCTCTCCTTTCCATCATCTGCTCCGTAAGGAATTTTTCTAGGTATGAATGACTAGAAACACAACAAAGGAAACAGTGATTTTTCATAGAAGCACTTCATGTATCACTTATTTAATTTTTTCATAGACCTAGGCTGTCTCTCTGCAAGTTCTGAAGAATCCCTAAGGGTACATATTACATTGTTAACAGTGGTTACCTTTGGAAAAGAGGGATGAGAATGTAAGGTTTTGCTGCACATATTCCTGGAATGCTTTTATTGTTCCAATTTTAGTACATGTGCTGAAGTGAGCACTGGAATGCTTTTAAATAGGTGAATGTATTACTAAGGCTGTGTGTGTGTGTGTGCGTGTGTGTGTGTATGTGTGTGTATGTGTGTAGTCCTTCCTAGGCCAATGTTCAAAAAAAAAAAAAATCAGAAGTTTAGCTCAATAGGCTATTGAATTTTTTTTTAAACTGTTTAAACCAGGGCAGGATTTCTATAATGGTGGAGAGAGGAACTAGGCATATCCTCTTCCCAGCAAAACAATTTTTTAACTGGTGAAAATGATAAAAGACAATCATTTAAAGTCTTAAGAAACTGTCCTAAGGGCACATAGCAAATGGAGAAACATTTACTCAAGAAAATTCCTAAATCTCAGTAAAAACAGAGTTTGTTGCATTTGCATCATAACCTGTTCCCCTCCTTTGTCCCCTCTTCTCCACCACTGTGCTGTGCTATGAAGGCATTACTCCAGGAGCTCTACTCTGGGTAGACATGGATAAGAAGACAGGGTTTCCCTCTTTCTTTCACTTCTCATCCGGAGCTGCCCTGGAAGAAACACTATTCTGGACAGCAGCTGGGAGGAAGGAGGCTTCCTTCTTCCCCATCCTCTACTTGTCAAGTAGTGACTCTCTCTTAGGCACAGCAGGCAGAGACCACCTGGAGGGACAAGCTGACAATGAGGGGTTACCCCTGGTCCCCTGCTCACAGAATAGAGGTGTTATTCTGGGAGAAGAGGGATGCTGTCCCACCCCCAGTTCCTGTTCAATGGCATAAAAGTTCTGCCCAGCAACCAAAGAGAGTAGATAAGCCAGAAATTTAACAGAGAAAACGAGAGAAAAGCTAGCCAAGAAGAGCCCTAAGACAATCTTGGAAGTTGGGAAGGCTCTGCACATATGCTTAAGCTGCACCTACTCATGGGCAAAAAGAACAGGGAATGAGGGCAGTGTTGAAATCATTCCCCAGGCCCCACACTGACCTATCAACACAGGGAAGAAGCCTCACTGGCACCAGGGGCTTAAGCACAACTGCTAACCAAATACTAGTTGAACAATAAGCTGCTCTGACCCAAGAGCAACTCTTAGAAAGCCAGATTTAAAGATAAAATCATAGTAGACTATTTTCCAGTTCTGCATATAAGGAGTTTCAAAGTTGTCACTGCATCCTAACAAGTAAAAAGCTCAACAGACTAAAAAATCAGCAACTTCCTGGATCCATAAGAGAGGAAAATAGCTGTCCCCAAGACTGGGAGATATATGTGAATACAGGAGGCAACAGCTTATTGGAACAAACTCACTAGTGGAATCTAACTTGAGAACCAGTGCTGGAGTAGGAAAACCTGAGCTGTAATTCACAAACTGGGGGTGCCTGGGTGGCTCAGTCCGTTAAGCATCTAACTTCGGCTCAGGTCATGATATCACTGCTCTGAGTTTGAGTGCCCCATCAGGCTCTGTGCTTGATAGCTCAGGGCCTGGAGCCTGCTTCAGATTCTGTGTCTCCCTCTCTCTCTGCCCCTCCCCCATTCATGTTCTGTCTCTTCTTCAAAAATAAACAAACATTAAAAAATTTTTAATTCGCAAATTGTTGGAGGTTCACTGTGGACAAGTCTGAGAGTTCAAAATTCCAGGAGGACCCAGTCCAGGGTCCAGTCCAGGGGGACCTCCCCATAATATGAGATTTACCTCCAGAAGTTCAACCACGTTTCCACAGTAAACATTAGAGCAAACTCCTCTGTGCTTCCAGCAAGGGGAGAGGAAAAGGATATCATTTTGAAATCTGCCAGAGTATATTGTTTTTAACAAAGCCTCTCCTCAGGGGAAACTGGTAAAGCAGAGCACAGCTTACTGGGATATTAGTGGATGTTAACCAATCTGGGGGAAGGGAAATACCAACTCCAGCCCACTCCACCCATTATGTCCCAACTATGGGTTAAGAAAAAAGTGAGAAATACTTGAGGAGTTCACAGTCCAGAGGCACAGGCTCACTAAGACACAAACCTATAATCTGAGATTATAGATTGCTTCCCCTCCTCCCATACCTCATTACCATATTACTAAAGGTATATTTATAGCAGTTCCTTCTACCCAGTACATCACGTCTGCTAATCAAGAAAAAATTATAAGGCATACCAAAAGGCAAAATTACGATTCAAAGGACAGAGCAAACATCAGAATCAGACATGGTAGAAATATGAGAATTATCAGACTGGCAATTTAAAACAACTATGATCAATATGCTAAGGGCTCTAATGGGAAAAGTAGACAGCATGCAAGAACAGATGAGCAACAAAAGCAGACAGATGGAAATCCTAAGAACAAAAAGAAATGCTAGAGATAAAAACTGTAAAAGAAACAAAGAATGCCTCTGATCGGTTTATCAGTAGACTGGACACAGCTGAGGGAAAAGCCTCTGCTCTAGGGGACACAACAACATAATCTTTGAAAACTGAAAGCAAAGAGAATGATGATGGAGGAAAATAGAATATCCAACTATAATACAACTACAAAAGGTGTTAACATATTGAGAATGTCAAGGGGAAGCAAGAAAAGAACAACAGCAACAATAATTGAAAACAGAAATGGCAGGGGTGCCTGGGTGGCTCAGTCTGTTAAGTCATCCAGCTTTGGCTCAGGTCATGATCTCATAGTTTATGAGTTCGAGCCCTGCGTTGGGCTCCTCACTGACAGCTCAGAACCTGGAGTCTGCTTTGGATTCTATGTCTCCTTCTCTCTCTGCCTCTCCCCCATTCATGCTCTCTCCTTCAAAAATAAACATTAGACAAAAATTAAAAAAACAAACAAACCCCGAAATGGCAGAGAATTTTCCCAAATTAATGTAAGATACCAAGCCACAGATCCAGGAAACTCAGAGAATACCAAGCAGGATAAAATGACAGAAGAACTATATCTAAGCATACTGTTTTCAAACTATAGAAAATCCAAGGCAAAGGAAAAATCCTGAAAGAAGCCAGAGGAAAAAAAATGCTTCATACACAGGGGAATAATGATATGAATTATACCTAACTTCTCAGAAACCATGCAAGCAAGAAAAGAGTGGAGTAAAGTGTTAAGAGAAAAACCCCACCAAACTAAAATTCTGTGCCCTACAAAACTCTCCTTCAAAGTGAAGGAAAAATTAAGACTTTCTCAGGCAAATAAAAATTGAGAGAATTTGTTGCCAGTAGACCTGCTTTCCAAAATTTGTTAAAATAAGTGCATTAGAGTGAAGGAAAGTAATATAGGTCACAGACATGAATCTATATAAAGTAAGGAAGAACAATGAAGAAGAAATAAGTGAAGGTAAAATAAAAACTTAAAATTTTTAAAAATATTTATTTATTTTTGTGACAGAGAGAGAGAGAGAAAGGGAGCGAGCATGCAGGGAGGGACAGAGAGAGAGGGAGACACAGAATCTGAAAAAAGGCTCCAGGCTTTGAGCTGTCAGCACATAGCCCAGCGCGGGGGTTAAATTCATGACCCATGAGATTGTGACCTGAGCTGAAGTCTGAGGCTTAACTGAGCCACCCAGGCACCCCTAAAATAAAAACTTTTATTTTTCTTAACTGATCTAACAAAGGAAATTTTTGTTCAAAATAACACCAACAATGTATTTGATTATGTATGCTTATGTACATATCACATATATGCATAGATATATATGATTACATATGCTTATATATTAAATGAAAAGAATGACAGCAATGATACAAGGGAGAGGAGGGAGAAATTAGGATTATTTTGTTATTATAAGGTACTCATACTACTCATGAAGTGATAGAGTACTATTTAAAAGTGGATTTGGATTAATTGTAAATGCACATTGCAAATTTTAGGGCAACCACTTAAAAAAAAGTATCAATATGCTAAGAAAGTAGAACAAATGGTATCATAAAATGCTTAATTAAAACTTTTTACAAACAGCAGAAAAAGAGTGGAAGACAAAAAATAAGAGCAACAAACAGAAATAGTAAGGAATATGGTAGGTATTAATCCAACTGTATTAATAATCAATCTGAACATCAATGGTATAAAAGTGCACCAAGTAAAAGATTGCCAGAGTGGATCAAAAAACATGACCTAAGTATAGGCTGTCTACAAGAAATCCACTTTAAATGTAAAGACATATAAAACAAAAGTAAGTAAATGGATGGAAAAAGTTATACCATGCAAACACTAATCAAAAGAAACCAAGAGTAGTTACATTAATTTCAGAGCAGACTTCAAAGAACAGAAAGTTATCAGGGATAAAGAAGGGTATTACATAATGATAAAGGAGTCAGTTCTTCAAAAAAGGTAATAATTCTTACCATGTATGTGCCTTAAAACAGAGCATCAAACTATGTGAGGCAAAACTAATTGTAAAGAGAAACTGCAATTAGAAATACATGAATCCACTATCACAGTTGGAGACTTAATCCTCTATCAGAAATGGACAGATTCAGTAGCCAGAAAAATCAGTAAGGACATAGTAGAAATCAAATATACCATCAGTCAAGTGGATATAATTAACATCTACAGACTAATCCCATCCAAAAGCAGAATACGTATTTTTTTCAAATTCACCTGTAACATTCACCAAGAGATCACATTTTAGGTCATGAAACACATCTTTTTTTTTTTTTTTTTTAAATGTTTTTATTTATTTATTTTGCAAGCGAGGGAAGGAGGGAGAGAAAGCGAGCCCATGCACTCAAGCAGGGGAGGGGCAGAGCGAGAATCCTGAGAAGGCTCTGAGGTGTCGATGCAGAACCCAATGCGGGATTTTGATCTCAGGAACTGTTATATCATGACTTG